TTTTTTTTTTTTTTTTTTTTTTACTGCAGTAATTAATGTATAAGGGGTTTAAGAATTTACCCAGCCATCATCAAAATTAATCGGAATCTTGTGAGTTGTCATAAAGAAAGTGAAAATAATGAACACAATTATGGATGAAAAGATAGAAAAAGAGAAGCAAAATGATAGCAAAAGTAAGCCCAAGAAAAAAGAACCAAAAAAAAAAAGCATTCTTGATTCTTGGTGAAAAACGAAAATTTAAATTTTAAATTTTATAACCGCGTGAAAATCTCTTGTATTTTAAAATTGTGAGACTGACGATTAGATGTAATGGGTCAAAGCGGACAATATCTACTAGCGGTGGACTTAGACGGTTACAAATGGTATAAGAGTTAGACACCGAGTGATGGGCTAGCAAGGACATTGGACTCCAAGGGGAGGTGAATTGTGAGGTTTCCGGGACAAAGCATTCTCAAGTGTGGGTGGATTGTGAGATCTCACATCAGGTGGGAAGGGAAACAAATTATTTCTTATAAAGGTGTGGAAACCTCATTAGTAAATCGGGCGGTGTGTCAACGAGAACGCTGGACCCTAAGGAGCTTGATTGTGAGATCCTATATCGATTCACAAAGGGTAACAAAACATTTTTTATAAGGGTGTGAAAATCTCTCCCTCGTAGACCGAGCAGTGTGCCAACATCGTGGATTGTGAGATCCAACGTCGCTTCCAAAAGTGAACGAAGCATTTTCAAGAAGGGTAGATCATGATATCTCACATCTATCAAAATGGGAACGAAACACTTCTTATAAATGTGTGGAACCCATACGCGTTTTAAAATCATGAAGCTAACAACAATACCCTAAACCCTAAACCTAGATATAGAGCGTCCTATCCGATCATATGTCATGTATGTTATGTTAAGCCACCATGCTGACGATAACGAAGTCTCGTTCGACTACCTTTCTTTGAAAGTGTTGAATTGGGCAAAGATACGAAAAATTTAAAACTTTTAACATGTTCAATTATACCGATTAAATTGAAATCATATAAACCAACACGAAACTTACTAAATTCAAATAGTGTTTTGAAGAACATACTAATAAAAATGGGTGTTAATTAAATCAAATCAACAAAATTCTACTCCCAATGAAATGGGAGGGTGGAAGGGGATTCATTTCCAGGATTCTCGGAGGCAATTCCAAAGATCCCGGGGAAATTAAGGGCCCCTCCATGATTGTCGGAATCAGAATTCTCATAACTGTTATGGCTATGGTGGTGGTGGTTCAATGGCTGCAGCAGAGAAACGGCGGCGCTCCGCTGATGCTGTTCGATTCTGCCCAAATCCAAATGCCCAGAAGAACCACTCTCCGCCTGCTGCGGCTGCGGCTGCTGCTGTGGCTGATGATCAGTCTGAGCCTGTGGTGATGACAGAAGAGAGAGAGCACAATCTGATTCACTAACCCCAATTCTGAACCTGTCATAAATCATCTTGTTTCTTTCCCCGCCGCCGCCGCCTCCGCCGCCGTTTTCTGACAGGGTATTCATGGACCGGAGGAGGGGTTGACATGTTGTTGTCGGGCCGCCGTGCATGAAGGCCAGTGTTTGCGCCGTTTTGTAGTTGTTGCTGTGGTCGGATTGTTCCACAAACAGGCTCTGTTTTTCGAGGAAATTTAGTTGTTGGTCCCTGTGAAGGGCGGCTGTCTCTCCGGTGGAGGACCAGCCGTGGCTGCTCACGGTGGTCGATGGGTAAACTTGTGCGCTTGTATATGCCAACAAGTGAGAACCTGCCAGAATTAAACACATTAACATCGGTTAAGATTGGTTTCAAAACACGTCTAGTAGATAGAAGTTTTCATGCTCAAAGAATGATTACTTCCTCTCTTCAACCGAGGTGGGATCTTAGAATCTACACCCTTAGACGCCCACAATCCTCATTGACACATAGCCTAGTGATTAGCTCGGATACCCTTTGTATCCTCTCTTCAACCGAGGTGGAATCTTAGAATCCACACCCTTGAGTGCCCACAATCCTTGCTGACATACAGCCCAGTGACTAATTCTGATACCATTTGTATCCTCTCTCCAACAGAGGTGGGATTTTAGAATCCACACCCTTCAGTGCCCACAATCATCACTGACTAGCTTTGATATCATTTGTAAGAGCTCAAACTCACACTAGTAAATATCGTGTTTTTGGGCTTTTACTTCAGTGCTTCAATTTTAAAACGCAGGTACTATGGAGAGGTTTCCACACCCTTATGGAATGCTTAGTTCTCCTCTACAACCGATGTGGGATCTCACAATCCACTCCTTTGAGTGCACACAATTCACTCCTTGGGCGTTGGTAGCACACTGACTGACTTTGATACCATTTGTAATGGCTTAAGTCCACTGTTAGTAAATATTATTCTCTTTGAACTTCCTCTTCAGTGCTTCGGTCTTAAAACGCGTCTATTAAAGAGAATTTTTCACAAACTTACCAGAAATCTTCGTTCCCCTATCCAACAAACGTGTGATTGAACTAAAACCCAACAAAATCTAGCCATTTCTTATGAAAACTTGGTAGCTTCCTTCAAAAGGGTAAGAAAAATCTAACCTTGATGATACGAGAAAGGCCCAGCAGATCGAGGCAAGAGGTCAGTCTGAGGCTTCCTCCGGCGGCGGTTGTGGCCATCCAGTCGTTTCCGACAGCTCCTTTTCCCCTCATCAAATTCCTCAAGTGAATGAAACCTATAATAAGACAACAACAAAAAAACAGAGCAAACAGGAATTCAATATCACCTAAGCCTTTAAAACGACCAAAATCCAGTCCACTTTTAAGCTCTCTAAGAAGAACAGAGCATTCAAAACCGCTGCAAATTCCACAAAACCTCAGCTGATTGGTCAACACAAAGCGCAAAAAACTGTTCCTCGGAGCTTTTCAACAAGAATAGAATAATGGGTAGTGCTCAAAAGTTGTGGTCAGAGAACAAAAACACCAACAAAGTTACCTGCTACACTGCTGACAGAACCTCTGTTTCAGGCCACCAATGGTAACCTGAGGAGTCTTAGAATGCAGCTCACAAACCTTATGACGGCGGTGGTAATCCCGACAGTTGCTTAGATCTGAATTGCAGCCATCAACAAGGCAAGAAACTGGTTGACTCCCGGCATTGTTAGCTCCTCGAGCTCTCTTCGATGATCCTGAGGTTGATGATGCCATTTTCTCAACCTCTGTCTCTGCAAAAACTGTGTTCCAAGAAGATTGGCACTTGGAAGTTCCCAAAAAGGTGGAGATTGGGGGGGAAGAAGAGAGTAAAAATGAAAGGGAAAGAGGGAGCTGAATGAAGGGAAAGAAGGTGTTCCCAAACAAG